AAAAAAGCAGAAATGTGAACTTTCAATTTTCACATGTTCAGACTTCTTCCACACACTCACTTTTCTGACCTCTCTGAAAGATAAAAGAAAATACTTGTTTCAATCCATTTTTTTCCATCCTAAAGAGAACAAGAAACTTACGGGAAAGAAGCTGTTGCTGCCTAATCTACTATAAACATTATGGTATTGAAATTCACCTCAGCAGTAGATTAACAGGAAAAGCAAAGGAAGCAAGCTGAGTCACACCTGGTCATTTCTCTTTACAACAGCAGCTATAATAACAATGATTTATTTTGGGACAAGTGTCATTTTGTAGGAGGGAAAAATGAAGTAAGAAATACAGAGAGTGAAAACAAAATCCAAGTCATTTAGCTTTATGACTAAAGCCTCAAAGATGTACAAACGTAATGGTGAATTCAGGTCACCATTACAGTCACAACATTCAGACCATGTTTTCTTTCAAAACTTGTGGTATTTAAGAACATTGCCAAGTAAAATCATGGATTATTATTTATCATCTCAGTATCAAGAAAATGTGACAAAACAGAGAAAAAATGTTCATAGTTCCCTCAGAAAATTTAAAATAGGTGACAACCCTGGTAGCAAAACCAAAAATAACACTTGGTAAGAAACTGAACTAATTTAAGCCTCCAAGAAAAGGAAAAAATGCCACCAGCATTTCATTCATGTAAAGAACTTGGCTGCTCTGGGGAACACAATTTCTTGTTTAGACAATTCTTTGGCATTAGACTACAGCTGTGTACCTCCTGTTGTGCTGATACAATGCCACTTGAAATATATTTGGCTAGCATATTTTGTGTGTGAACATAGAGAAATGAAGTATTTGAAAATATGTAGCACCTCATTCTTCCTATGAACTTTTTTAAATTTTCCCATGTGCATAAAAATGAAAATACTGGTATGCCCAATTCTTTATTCTGCATTTGTTTACTGTAAAGCACTTCATGGGAACAATAGTTTGAAAGAATCTTTTTGCATAAAAATACTTTAATTAAAATATTTCAATCAACTGAACAAATTCACAACTCCAAATTTATACTGTCTGCTATGGAATTTATTTCACTTTGAAAAATGGACAAGAAATAGATCTCAAAGGAGAGAGAGGAAAAAAAAAAAAAAATGCCATCTCTCTCCTCCTGGTGTTCTCTTCCTTCTCCCTTTGCCATTACCATGCATTTTAACCAGGAATATAACTTTTCCCACCTTTACCTACCCAAAAGTGGGAAAGTACCTTCTAGTTTTCCACTATTACTTATTCTAGTTTACCTGAATTGCTTTTTCATTATGGCATAATTAAAAATTTAGCATCTCTATTTCAGGATATGTATCAGGTGTCCAACTGCAGGCACTCTGGCTTCTGGAACAGGAAGTTTGCCCATATTAAATGCTCATCACAACCAAGGATGATTCAGAAACTATGCCATTAGTATTCACAGCCTCCCTCTTTCACTGACCAGACCCACAAGAAGTTTGAAATAGGTTCAGATAAGCATGGGCCACAAACTTTCAATGAACATGGTGGTCATGGCATGTAAATTCTTGATTCTGTCCAGCACAGAACTAACTCAATTTTGTTGAGTATGTATGGTGCAGTTGAGTATGTAAATTCACTGAGATTCACAGAGTATTTCAGCCTGGCCTGAACAGCAGTTTCTGAGTGTGCTTAGCAAACATTTGTATTTTGACCTCCTTTGAAAAGAAAATTAATTTAAAACAAGATGAGGACAACCAGGTACCTTCAACGGCTCCAGAGCAAGAGTGTTCACCTTTCATAAAAGAAGACTAGTTTAAAAACCCAGACACTTCAAAAGTTCAAAGCCACATCTTCAGCCCCTCAGGAAGTACCCTTAAAGAAATACTTTACCTGTTTAACTTCTCTTAGTGCCAGAAACCAGTATGTGCTCCAGTCCTGTGCCCTCCCCAAAGCCGTAACTTCACTTTATCAACTAAATATTAAGGAACTTCCCTCCAAAGAAAACCTGTACTCCAGACTCTGCTCCAACTGCCTTTTAACAAAGGGCTCACAAACACCCAAACAAAGGTTGAGTCCTGGGATGTTTGGGGGAGATAAATGTCCTCTGAATCATTATGCTAAACTGCTTTTCCCTTTCGCTTTTCCCGCCTTTACACTAAGTTCTTTGCTAAACCAGGCACAGGATCCCAAAAGGAATTACAGAAAACACAGGCAATCCAGCCTGCATTATGGTGGTCAGGTTAAGAGAGAGATGTTAATCCTCTGAGGCTACAAAGGATACTTAAAACAGTAGTTGCTATATTCAAAGCAGATATTGCATTAAACTTTTTTTTTTAAACACGGCTTTTTTCCATCCTCAGAGAGAAGTTGCATAAAGTCATGGATGTCTACAATCTCACAGACACCAACAGAATTCTGTTGCCCTACATATTAATCATAAACAGCTGCAAAAGAATGGAACTCACCTCCCTATTTTGACTTTAACTTTCTCAAGTTGATAGTTTCCAAGGCCGTAAGTATTTCTAAGCCTCGTTATATCTATAAGCAATGATTCTAGTAAAGAAGATATCAGAACTTCCTGTTATGTAATTTTGGGGTATTTCCCCTCCCATTCCCAAACATCTCCAATTATCTCAGAGCACAGAGCTTTCAAGAACATCACCAGAAAGAAAATGGTTATCCATATCACAGCATTCAAACTGCAGATGATTCTAACTGCTTTAGTGAAACTGATGACATTAATCTCCTCTATTTGTGGAGGGAGATCAAAATGGAGGGTAAGGTAATGCTGACTTAAACCACTGCTCAAGAGAACTGTAGATAAACTCTTTCAGGACATATGGTATAAACACACAGTGTACTTAACTAACTGAATTAAAAAAGATTTAAGCCAAGCAAAAAGGTTTCTCAAGCTAAACACAAAACTACTCAACTACCCTGCAGTATTTTGCACTGATTTAACTTGCAGCCCATTTAAATGAGGTCTCCAATACTTCACGTTAGTAGGTGCACACAGAGCAGACCAACCTCACGCAGACTTACTAACTCAGATCCGCAATGCACTACAGAAGCATTAGTGGGGCACTGCATCTTTTATAAACCTGGCCACACAGAGCAAGTATTCACGTGTTCAGTTTCAGTATCACTTTGAGGCTGCAGTATTGCTCCGTGAAGACCCTGTCCCTCTCAGAGACTTCTACTGAACCACATAGACATGTCATAAATTGCTTTTTCAATCAGTTTAAAATAAGCCAGGTCAGTTTCTCTGACAAGGTAAGGCCTTATGTATTTATCTGTGCAGTGTTATGCCTTTCCAGTTTTGTTTTTTATCTTTATTTTCCCTATAAAATGACCAATGACACTGTTCAAAAGAGATGCAAAGAATGGACATCTTTTTAGATACAGAATTTAAGAAAAAAAGAAATGAAAAAAAAATCAAGCTGGGGAAGACAGAGAATGAAGGGAGACTATGTATTCTGTCAGTACCTTGACAGGCACCTATCTGCTCCTTTTACTTCTTTCTCTGTATCTTCCTAACAGGCAGTGTCTCACTTTCTTTAAGTCTCTCTTTAAATCCTGCAGAATCACAATTTGTTCTTTCCTTAGCCCCTAAAGAGCATCTTAAAGAATACTCTAATAACGGTATACTGTTTAAAGTTGATTACCAGGATTATTTCCACATTTCTTCATTGGCTGCAGGAATATTTCCATGAGTACTCTATATTCCTTAAAAATTACTATTTTTCTGCAATCTGTATTTCACCCAAAGTCTTAATCTTCAGTGATGACTACTGTATCCACATGGTCATGATGTAATGAAGAAAAGAAACCACTTCTGGAGGGAAAACACCATCACAAACCTTTGAAGAAGTCTCTTAATAATCTCAAATAATTTATCAATAAAATGTCTGTCCATATTTCAATTTGGAATATTATCTCAAAACACAGCGCACTTCAAGAGAAGATGTGTTCTTCACTGACAAGAACACTCTTGGGACTTTCCAATTCCTTGTTTAAAGCCATCAACTTCACTAAGAAAGGGTTTATATTGCACATTTTTGGCCAAAGAGAGCTTACGAGAAATTAAGATTTACATCACATTATTTACTGCAATAAATCTATCCAAAGTAATTTCAAAGTCCTATAATGCAAAACTCAATAAAACTTCCACGTAGTTGAAGATAAAAGCTTTCAAAACAGGTTCAAAAACATATGCAAATGTTGGTATATATGTTCACACACAATGCATAGATACAGCACACATGAACACCATGAATATCATCAATGATGTCTGAAATGCCTGTTTATGAGGCACATGCATTTACTCTGCAACGCCACTGATTACAGGCAGTTTTAGTAAGTGTGGTACTTGTGAGATGACACCTTACCTTCCACCAAAATTCTCCACACGCAAAGCATCTTTGCATCAATATTCAGGGCAACAGCATGTCGGGGGTTTGACGTACACTCAGCTGCATTTGGCTAACCTGTTTGATCTCTTCCCTAGCCCGACAACTAATTTAAATGATGAATTTTTATCATGATGCAGGTAAGTGAAGTTAAACCAGATAAACCAGGTTTTATACCAAAACGTCTTTCAGCTTCAGCAGTGGCAGTACCCATCTCACAGACAAGCCAAACCCGGGCCCGGGTATAGGCTCGCTCTGCTGCAGACCCCGCAGCCGGAACCGGTGACACGGCAGCACCGGGGCCGCACAACGCCCTCAGCGCGGCTCCCGAACTGCGCGGAGGCTGCGGCGCGTCCTCGTCAGCCGCCCACAGCCACCTTACAGCCACCGCAGGCACCCCCAGCTGCCCTCACACCGGCCAGCGGTGGCGCGGCGGGAGAAACGGGAGCGGAGCGGGGCGGGAGAGAAAAAAACACAAAAAAGAGGGCGTTGGGGAAAGGGGCAGCCAGCCAGCTGTTCTGGCACCTCCTCTCGCCAGGCACGGTCGCAGACAGGCACCTCGGCAGCTCCTTTGTTTCCCTCCTTCCCGCACTCACCCACGGTAGCCAGGGTCTCCAGGTCCTCCAGCTTGTAAGCAGCGGGCTCGAGCGCGGCGGGCGAGCCGGGACCGGCTGGGCTGGGGGCCGGCACGGCGGGCTGAGGCGCGGCCCCTCCCGCCGCCGCCGCCTCGCCGCCGCTCTTCGCCCCCATCTTGGCCTTGGCAGCGCTGAAGGCGTCCATGGGGCCGAGCGGGCGCCCCGCGGCCGCTCAGCGCATGGAGAAGGGCGAGAGGAAGAGGGAGGAGACGGAGCAGCAGGGACGCAAAGTTTCAGTCTTCAGCAGGCGGGGTGGCTGCTCCCCAGGGCTGGAGCCCGCTGCCGCGTCTGTGGAGGCGCGCAGCCCTTCAGCATCGCGGCCACAGCCGCCGCGCCGCCCGCCGGTGCCCGCAGCAGGCAAGGACCGCCGCGCAGACAATGGCGAGGGAGCGCCCAGCCGCGCCACACGCGGGGCGGAGGGCGGGGTTTGCCGCTGCCGCTGCGGCACCGTCCCGCTGAGGGCTGGCGGGGCGGGGCGGCGCCGGGAGAAGCGCGGCCCCGCCGCACAGCGGGAGCGCGGCCCTCGCCCCTCGCCGCGGGCACGGCCCGGACCCTGTGGTAGTGCTGGAGTTCTCTGCTCGTCCTTCCCCACCCTGCGTCCCGCCCGAGGGGCAGCGCGGGGGGGAACAGGGTGGAGGGGAGCGATGGCGGCTGCGGCGCCTGCCCCGCGCTCCCTCAGTGTTGCAGGGACGCCTGGGACGGTCCCGTCCGCTTTCCGCAGAAAGTTAAAAATGAGCGGTGGGGTCCTTGCGAAGCGGCAGCCGGAACCCTCCCTGGCTGTACAGTAACAGCCCTGGGAAGAGCTCGTCTGTCCCCGCGTGTTGGAGTATCTTCCTCCGCGCGTCCCAAAGGGTTTGTCACGCCTTATTTTACTCCCCGTTTCCAAGCAGGTGTGGATTCCGCAGCGGTCTCAGCCCGTCCGCGTCCCCTGCTCCAGCCTGCAGGGTGTTGGTGTGGCTGGGGGTAGTGCTGGGTTGCGCTCAGCCGCATACAGCAGAAGCAGTGGAGTACCCACTGTAGCTCCTTCCAGAGCAGCCTGGAAGCTGTTCACGATTATGCTGGAAGACAAGAAAAAGTGGTGTGTGAACCAAGTCGCTGTAAAGCGTGCACATCAAAATTGGGAAGGAAATCCTAGTATTTTTCCATGCTTTGGTCTGGCACAGTTTTACCCTATTCACAGCTACTCCCCTATGCTCCCGTGAGCAGGATCTCTGCAAAGCAGATGTGTAAGTTGTCACTCGGGTGGCATTTGGCATCTCTTTTTTATTAAATGTGACATCATGAGAATTTAAGACCTATTCGTTTCTGTATGGAGTAGGCTCAAAAATAATGAGAAATAATTGTGTGTATACAAAAAATGAGTACAAATATATAAATTATTATTACAAATTTGTGTACATTTATCCTGAATTTAAGGTATTCTTACAGTCCAATTTATAGATGTAATATCAGAGGATATTACCTATAAAAAGGATTTTATCTTTTAGCTTGTTGACATGCAGGCTTATGACTAATTCGGAAAATCGTTGGGTCATCTCTGCTTCCTGTCAGCCTTTGAAAAGTCACCAGTCAAGGAGGATGACATCACTTTTCCTCCAAAATTTCAGACTTCGTCTGTGAACTCTTTGGAATGCAAGTTTTGCACTTCTATTTTGCTTTAGTGCTTTACTCCCCTTTGTGCCTCTTTACTGAGAGGTTGATGGAGCACTAGAATGGGTTGCCCAGAGAGGTTGTGGAATCTTCCTCACTGGAGATGTTCAGAAGCCATTTGGATGAAACGCTGTGGGATGACCCTGCTTGAGCAGGGGGGTTGAACCAGGTGACCCACAGTGCTCCTTACCCACCTTACCCGTTCTGTACTATGATTTGTACATTGTATACCAGATTTACCATGATTTAGGCCTTGAATGATATATTTTAAAGATTCCTGAAACTGCAAATTGTGAATGTTCTGGTAAGTTGTAAATATAATTCCCGTTTGGTCAAAAGGTAAGCAAGCCAACAAAGCTCTTTTAATAATAACTGAAAATTTTGCTTAAGGTAGCAATTTGAAAAATAAACATCAAAACATTGAAGAAATCTCAGTGTGTGTAAAAATCTTTGTTTTTCTAGCCAAATAATTGCAAATTGAGAAAAAAGGTATAAGCTGATTGTGATAATTATTTTCAAGAGAGAGTACCTTAACTTCAGTCTAGCCAAGAAAAATGATGTTTGATCTTCCTGAAACCTTTCCTTTTCAATTAAAACTAAGAAATCATTCACTGCTCACGTGTTCAAAAGGGCATAAAGTATTTTACATAAGGTGTTGATCATCTTCAACTGATATTTCCATTTATTCTATAAATTCTACCTAATGTTTAAATTACTTGCATTCAGGACCATAAAACTTCCTTTTAAAGAGCCTTCTACTGCCATACTTCAACAGTTGGTGGACTGTATGACAGCACACATTCTAAAGAGCTGTGATTCAGCAAGGTTCCTAAGCACAGGATTAGTTTCATTAGATGCAGTGTCTGTTCTTAAGATTAAAGTTTGCTTCCTTCCTTTGTGTCCAAGGCATTTGCTAGTTGTAGTTGTAGCAACATAATTGCAATGTTTATATTTAGACTGTCAACATACTATTAATGTGCTTTGCCACCTCTGTATAACCCACTCAATTTATCTTGCAGATACTGATTATTATCCACAATACTTCAGGGAAAGCAAATGTCATTCTTTCTACATACAATGAGGCTGAGAATCAAAACTCCTAACTTCATAAATTGCAATTGGAAATAGAGCTGGCCACTAGATTGCAATAATGCATATAAAACATTTTTTCTTGCCCAATTTGGACACAATTCATAGGCAAGCCTGATGCCCTGTACTCCTCTTTTCTTTCTTCTTTGCCCTTATTTTAAGTTAAAATGTGACCTTTTGGTCACAGATTTTTGAATAATCTTGGCCTTTCCCTTGCTCTCAATAATTCATAGTTCTCAGCTTTTTCACTTTCCCCACACATGCATTAAGTGCCTACAGCCAGGTTCCTTAAAACAATTTACCCCCTTTATGTTTCCAGTCCTTTTCCTTACAGGTGCTTACATCAAGGGTTAGTTTTATTTTCATTTTCCCTTAAAGGTACCAGATGTTTGAGATTATTCTTTCCAAAGACAGTGAAGATCTTTTTAGAAGAGATTTTATTTAGGGAAAAAAAAACAACCAACCAAATAATCAGAAAAAAGCAAAACTAAACAAAAAACAACAAAAAAA